GGGGGGGGGGGGGTTCTCTCTTTCTCTCTCTCCCCTTTCAAATTTTAGGCAATCATTTCTATTTTTTTGCCCCCCGCAGCTAGAGATAGATCATCATTACCTCCGCAGGCCTCCAAGATGATCCCAGGTAGGCTCTTTTTAGGATGGATGACATATTTGTGTTAATAATTTAGCTCTAGATCATCTCTTTGCCACTGCGTTTTTATTAGGACATTTTAAGCAGAAAACGCGGCTCTTGTGAACCAGACAAATCTCTCCAATCCCGCTTTTCTCTTGGCCCATTTATCATCCGGGGCATTTCCCCCCACCACCCTGCTAATAGTCAAGAAGAATATCTATCTCTCCACCTATCAATCTATCAGTCGGCAATAGGGACTTCTGGGTCTTAAATCATCTGCTTTTGGTTCAATGCGTATCCTTCCCGCTGTCAGGTAGGGATGCAAAGCAAAAATCCTCCTGAACCCTGTCGAGTCTGCACCTCCTCGGTTCAATATTGCCAGCCACAAATGTGACCTGCCCGTTGCATGACACATTTCTCTTCCACTCAACTCCTCAAAGACAGCGTTCACAGAGAAACTAAGCTCACACGACTCCCATAGGTGTGAAAGTCCCATAAACCACGACCTTAATAGCAAAGGGGAACGGAGTAAACATCGTAACTGGAACTTTTAAAATAGATCTACCAAGAAATGCTGGTCCCTTGTTAGTCACCTGGTTTTTAAAGTGCCTATATGCCCTGCTCATTGCACACAATAAAACTGTAGGTGTCTTCTACTGGAGACTCGTTAGGCAGATACACAGTTGCACGTCTGTGTGCTGCAGAGCTGACTAGCCGTGCCTTTGAGTCTTCAGGGTCTGTCTAAAGGTTGAAAAAGTCTGTCTACCGCCACATGCTTCACACAGTCCTAAATATCACTTGGCGGGCTTCATCCCCCCCGCCCTGCCTGTAGCAGCCCTAGCTGGGCCATCCCACGGACTGGGCTCGCTATCCCTTGCCCTGGCACGAAAAGACTCATTGGCCACACGCTGCTCCGGCCCAAATGTACGCACCCGGCAAGGAAAGCACGGCCTCGGATCCACATGGCAAACAATAAACCTCTTCACTACACGTCAGCCACCAGGTCATCATGAAACCACCGTGCAGGAGATTGCAGGAGAGCCAGAAATACCCTGCCAAGCCGCTAAACGCATAGCCTGGTTATCCAAGCCAACTAGGACACCCATACACGCACACACACACACATATATATACATATATACATATATACACATATATATCCGTACATACATACTTTTATATATATATACACACACACACACATTAAT